CCTTTCTCGAAAATAACCCCGATCTTGCAAAACATCCTGGCCATCCCAAAGCGGACCGATTCAAGCGGAGATTCGAAGCTGAAAATGTTGCTCCATTTGGGCTTCAAGCCGACGTCAAAGTGGAGCCTGGGATTTGGGATCAATGCCAAAAAAATAAAAAATACAGAAATAAAAACAGCCCCCAGTGGACTAATGTCATACGACAACCAGCAGAATGAAGCTGGCAGAGGAGCGAGCAACACGGATACCGTTATGAAACATGTGTGATAATCGGAGAGTGAGTGGGGGCTCACAATCCCCGGAGGGTGTATGGAGAAACAGACCGCAGAGAATCCTGCATGCTTCCAGACAGCGGCCGCCATGTCCCTGAAAGGTCTGCATGTTCTGGGGGTCATTTTGGACCCAGACAATGACGATTAAGGATGATCCAAAATGAGATGCAAAGTGTCACTGCCTTGATGAACCTGCGCCACCTTGGACACGGAAAGCGGAATGGGGATTTTAACTGCCTTCATCTTCATCCTAGGAAACGCTGCTCCAGAATAACTCACGGCATCAATCAGACCAGCCCCAAGATCACCATTAAGGTGACACATCTAGCGGCAACTGGGCCCAGTAAGGAACAGGCCCCGGTGAACTTTCTGCAAAGGACGGCTCTGGACAGCCACAATAACAACTCCCCAAGTCAGTCTATCCCATAATAATCATTGTCCGCCAGTTGGCTGCATTGCCAGCCCTCCTCCCGTTCGCCTCGGGTCCTCAGAATATGATTCCAGTTCTCGTGTGTGACTGATCACATGTATCGAGCATGACCACAAGTTTGTAAACAGCAGGGCAGCTGGCAGAGACCACAGAAGGGGAGGGACCGGAATTGGAAGGGCCGAGGGGGGGGTCCCTATTTTCTACCCACGAGAGCATCAAAGCAGCACATACACAGGGGGGTGGGGACAGAAAGAACGGGAATAACTGAATTAAACAAACAATAATAATAATGATAATAATTTAAAAATAAAATAAAGAAATAAAAAATATTGGAGAAGCGATTTTCCACAGATAATATTTCCAATATACCAATCGCAAAGTAAAACAATTTACTCAACAAAAATCTGTTTAGAATGAAATATAAAACAGACTTAAGAGTCTCGTTAGCGATCTGCACAGACAGGTGAAAGGGGGGGGGACTGTGTGTGTGTGTGTGTGTGTGTGTGTGTGTGTGTGTATCATCTTTCAGCATCTGGCCAGTTGCTTCACCTGCACCATGTCCGGGAAGGTTGCACAACTGAGCTGCAAACAGTGGCCATTAATCCGCGGCTCTGATGGCCACGCTGGTCAGGCGAGGGCCGAGCATTCGGATAAATCCGGAATTCATTACACTCCTCTGAGGTCCAGGGCGGGCCGACGCAATAACGCTAATTGGTGCACTTTCTCCAAACGATCACCATCTCCTTTCTGCGTGTCGTGACATGGCGGGGGGGGGGGCATCCCATCTCTCCCTGGCATTTCATCCTGAGTTCAGGCAAAGGGGGGGGGGGGGGGCATCCTGGTTTTAACAGCGTTACCCACTAATATGGCAGCAGGGCACCTCCGGACCACTTCCTTTCAGCACGACCTGGAGACATCTCCACAGGCGACTGACGGCCCCGAGAGCCGCGGCTGCATCTGAAGCGAGCCGCCATGTTATTTGCTACAACGCAATGTTCTGGGGCGCAAGCCCGAAGACGCCCAGGCCCCTCCTGGCATGCGCCAGCCTGAACAGGCGCCGTATGTGTGAGAAAACATGCCACGACGAAAGCCCTGCAGCTGACCTAGCAGCCGAGATTACAGACTTTAACGGGGTGGCGACACACCGGCAAGAACCAGGAGCGAATCTGCGGGGAACACTGCACCCAGAACATCTCCTATGCAACAATGCAAAAAAAAAAATTATGTAAAAATAGATCAAAAGTCATGCTGGGTGCAAAAGTTAAACGCATGATGTGAGTGGATAATACACTGCACACCCCCCCCCCCCAAAGCCCACACCCCTTCCTCTGGTTTGGGGCTTGTGCAAGGCCCAAACAAGCTTCCTCTATTACTTGTCAGCTAGGGTTTGGTTCCATTTCCTAACCATATATCCTCTCCATAATAGCTGCACAATGCAACTCATACATTACTCCAATCCATCAAAATGCAATGTTAGGACTTCATTGGTCAATTCGTTTCCTAATAACAGACACTCAGAGACACACACAGAGAAACATGGAGAACCAGAAGGTATTTGTCCCCATCACCAGGACGCAAACCAACCATGTCGACAAAGCAGAGGGGGGGGGGTGCAGCCCAGCCGGACAGATCCATCAGAGGTTTTAAATTAAGTACGAGCGAGGATGTGAATCCCGTGTCAATATCAGACTCTATAAGGCATCAGGCTCTTTGACGGTCCTCCAAGGTCAAACTGAACAGCTAAGGTCACATGTAATACTGCAATTTAAGCCTTAACCGAAGCTGACAGAGGTGTGAGGGGAAAAAAAGCACATTTTCACCACAAATCCAGCTCTATTTCAGGACAAAATCTATTCCCTAATGTCCCCTTTTTACATTCGTCTTTCTTCAGCCAACACCAACAGTCAGACACGTGCTCCCAGCGTTTCCACGACTGTGGTTTTACTGGTAAGTGCCCGATGTCTCCCGGAACCTGCACTGCGATTGTGGAGAAATTCAGTCCTTTCGGTCCCTGTCACTACGCAGACATTCCACCCACAGCGATCTCCAGAAAAGCCTACAGCCCACAGAGACGCAGCTCGAGCGACATGCAGGAAAAGCCGATCGCTCGGAAAGAAAGCACTCACGATCGCAAGACAGACGTAGCCAAACCTCGAGAGATCATTAGCACCTAAACTGAAAGGCCCCCAGCATGACAAAGGGGGTTGAAAACTCTTCAGATCTCCACTCAGGGTCTGGTCATACTGGGAATGGCCAGGGAAGATGACCCACTTCTAACCTTTAATGAAATAATCATAGAAAAATAACACATTCTCTAGTCATCTCCAGAACCTCTGCAAAGTCAAGTCACCTGATTAAAGGTGAAAGGTCAGAGGATTTTTAACTGCCAACTTTACCCACTGTCTCCCCCATAACTCGGTAACCACAACAGTGCTGGTTTGCCGAAGGAGGCATTGCTGTTTTGAAGGTGTCACTAAGGTGTATCTAGGTCGACGTTAACGGTGACCAGCTCCCATACTGCACTGCGGGCCCCAGGCTGTTCGCTGTGGAATGGAAGTTCAATAGCGAAATTAAGTAGGGGGGGGGGGGTGGAGTATTCCTTTGATAAAGATGTCTCGTACCCAGGAGCAGCCAACGAATGCAGTTTCACCGAACCGAGCTAACGTGACATTTCCTGCTCTTAACACTCACTGACAATGAAAGGATCAAGTTAGAACAAAAAAAAAACTCAAAGAACAGGTAGAACCACAAAATAGCTACTCAAGTTAAAAAAAAAAAGAAAAAAAGACTGGGCTAGCTGTCGTAATGTTAGCGTAATACAGGAAGAGCTACTAGGCCAGTAAGGATAGCAATCTGCTCGGTGGGCCGAACCAAGTGTCCTGCCATGCGGGGGACAGACGACCCAGCCCGCCAGACCACAGGTGGCAAAATTGGGGAGGGGGTAGCAAACCACCATCCCTTACTAACCCAAAACCTACAGGCCACTGTTAAACGTGTCGTTTCTTTGACTTCCTCCACTCATAAGATCCCCTGCAACCGTCTTGATCGACACACAGAATTAATATTACATTTAATTACAATTACAAACCCGCCGTCCAACATGTCCTTTACATCCATTATCAGGACTCAATTCGAAGCAATTAATCTGCCGAGATGGACGAGATGATGTTCCACACATTCCGAACCATTCCTTGTAAGACTGTCCAGCTGCTTCCTCGTTCTCAGTGCACTGATACCTTTTTGCCCATAAGGAAAGGTGACCAGGAACCAAAACAGTAATTCAGATCATCATCTCAATCATTTTCCCTATATGTTCTGCAAAAGTCATTAGCGAGAATTTTAGAAAGGTTATCTAACGAGAATCACCCATGTGGTCTGAGACGGATGAAGACTTACGTCTGTTTGTCGTTTCCACCGTTACTGCAGATCTCACATGCAGAAAAAGCTGGTTCACATTTTCGGTTTTAAATCGTTTTATAGACACGTGGCGCTTCAGTTTACATTTGTTCATTGTTAGCTAAACACTGAGACGGCTGAAATAAATAACCCACGCATAGACTACCCCATTTTCACAGTTATGACTTAGCTGCACGTGAAACGATCGCGCTTCAAAGTCAAGTAGATACAGCTCAGCAAGAGTGAATTGCACAATGTGCATGCCCTGCAATGGACCGGCTTCTAGACCCAGGTGTACACCAGCCGTGCATCCTATGTTGCCTGGGATAGACTCCAGACCCCCTGCAACAGGGCCCAACTGTTTATAAGAATGAAGGACATTCTCAGAAGCTATCTTTATAGCTTTGAACAAAGCTATCTTGACTAGAAACCCAGCCAAAATCCCAATACTCCTAAGCTCAAGCAAAAAAATATTAAAAAGCATCAACATGCATTGTAGTCAGTCCCTTGTTGACCACTAAATGTCACCCTCCACTTGAGTGATTTTTTCACACATGACACTTCTCAACCTCCAGAGTGCGGGTTTGTTGCAAGCATGCAAGCTAATACGCCTATCTGCAGCAGAACATACAAACACAGTTGTGTGGAAAAACACAGGCTAACGCATTTGAAAACTGAAAGCAGATTTACAATTTAAGCTGTCATCTGACAACGGATGTTTCCAAAAAAGAAGCATTCACTCGCAGGGAAAAGGCTGCGAGGGCATGCTACAATAATATATAAGGTGATAATGCAATACTGATCACAGGTGAGAGCACAAGGTGATGAGTGTAGAGGAACACGTGATCGGTGGCACAAAAAAGCATGGGTCATCCAAAGTGTCCTTCTTCCACGTTCCTTACCTTAATAATACTGCTTCGTCGAGGTATTTCCGATTTGGCGTCCGGACCCGCAGCAGAGGCATTGACCTCCCTGACTGCCGGGCTGTCGGGTCCCGGAGATCCGGGGCCAGGCGTGCTGGGCAACCCACAGTTCCCGTTCGAGACAGAGCCCTCGAGGCGCGTCTCGCCGCCAGGCACACCACCCGTCCTCACGGCAACCGGCTGCGGAGGGGGCGCTCGGACGCATTCCGCTGCGGGCTCCGCCATGGGGACCGACGCGGGAGTCGGATCTCTTCTGGGTGGAGGGGAGCGGCTTTGCTGGTTCCGAAGCGGATTGGGATCAGCGCGGCGATGGGGCGGTCATGCAGCTTGAGGGGCTGCCTCCGCTCAGCTTTAGGCGGCTGACGGCTCTCGGTGTCCGCAGTTCGCTCCCTCGCTGGCCGGCGTATGCGAGCCTGCGGCTACTCCCATCTGCGAGTCAGCGTCTGGACGCTGTCATCGTGGCCAGCCTTCGCCTTTTGTTACAAAGTTGCCGAAAAAGTATCCGCCGTGGCTGCAAACGCTGAAGTCGCATTCCAGTCCCTTATATCATCCTGAACGCTGTCACAAAAACACAACGGGGAAACTGACGATTAAACTGATGCACCGACAAATCTGACACGGCTAGTAATAAAATCTCACCTCCACTAGTAAAAACGAGCTAGTCTGGCTACGTAGGAAGTGTCATGCCCACGGCTTTGCTAACCAATTCAGCCCTGGTTGTATTCGTCTAGCTAGTCGGAGGAGCCTCGACCGAGCCCAGCACCTACGGCGAGGCAGTAAAGTCCCCCTCAGCGCCGGCAAAGCCTGAGAGTCTCGACCCCGCCAAGTGTCCACGGATCAGCAGACAGACTTTTCACCTGTTTTTTTTTTAACCCAGCTAGATAACTGGTTAGTACGCGTTAGTACGACCCCCTCCAAGCACGTGTCTGATCATAAATGGGCATTAAATATATATTACATATAATGCGATGCGTCAACAGGTCCAAATGCATCCGAAACTTCAGTATTTTTTTTGCGGAAAAAAAAGAGAAACTGAAAATGTTAGTTAAATCGACGGGAACAAAACGTAACCGTTCAGGCATAACCAGACACCTCGACTGCCTACCACGGCTCATTCCAGTAGGCACGGCGTTAGTCGCGTCTGCAGAAAGCCGAAGGTGCAGCGGCGGTGTTGCAGATTCGCACTCGGCGTCGACGCGACGAACAAAGCGAATTCAAGGGGGGCTACAGCCGCTTCCTCAAATCAGCCCTCGTACAGAGATGAGGCGCTTCGCCGCCGCTTCACAGCCCGAGCCGCACGGCCACATAGCAGAGCCAGCGCAAACATCTCACCGTCAGTCAAGCCGCGCAGCCGGCGCCCATTGGAGAAGCGCTTGTGTGCCACCGCCTTTCGGAAGGGGGGGGCGGCTCACCAAAACCCTCCTTTTTCTCTACTTGCGATCCCTAATCACAATAAAAAACACCTACGGTTGCAAATAAGATGTCAATCAAGCGACAGCTCTGGATAGAATTGGCTCCACTCCGCCGAGGCACGCCCGAAGAGGGAGGGCCGCACGGTGAGTTCCTTTAAAATGAGGCGTGCTCATAAATCAATCTGATTGTGCAAATATTCAGGGGTGAAAATGATACACCCACGGTACGTGATACTTCACATACAGATAAAACACATTGCACTTAATTAAAATAGTCCACATTTAAACATTTAATTAATAACACTTTAAGTAGCAATCATAAAACGCAGTCAGTTACTGTACACTTAAGATTAAATCGTATTAATCTAGTAATAAAGGAATCCGTTTTTTAAAACATGACAAATGCTATACATTGAATAGGCCAACATTTTCTATATTGAAATTAAATATTCTGAAATCTGCAATGCAATTGTACCATTTAATTTATATATTAATATTATTGGTTTATACATCTCATTTACAGAAGAAATGGTCTAAATAACAAAAATCCGTCTTAAACGATAGAATAAACTATAGCTGGGATTCCAGAATTAAGCTTTTTTTCCAGTATTTTTAATGTATAGGGCTATATCACATTTTTTTTTGCTATCCAAGCCGCTTAAATGGCGAAGAAATGCTATATATTACGCGTGCAAAAGTTGTGACATTTACAGTTCTGTACATGCAGTAGCCTAGAATAATGAAAGGTTATGCACAAGAGATGCGAACCGGGGAGAATATTAGCGGATGGGGTGGATGGATTGTCTGAAGTAATAATACTCAAACTGTGTGATGACTGGGTGGATGGATTTATCATTTAACATGATTTACCTTCAAAAACACGTTTTCACGTTATTATCCACATCCCGGAATATATTATTTAGGTGAGTAAAAGTGAATTAAACAATGCTTTGTAATACCTTTCTGAAGACGCAAATCGGTTGTCCCTGGTCTTTGTATTCATATAGCAATGTTTCCCATTCGCCACGAAATATTTTTAAATGTGTGAACACGGAATTTCGTTACGATTACGAATAACTGCACTTGTAAGGTAAGTTTAGATGCATTTTTCTACTTAGATCAAGCTGTCCGTATTTATTGTTTATTTGTCACATCACTGGTTTATTGCTCCATTAACAATAATTGCTGAAAGTCCGAAATAAATATAAAATTAATAACTGGAATGAGCGATATCAAATACAATATGCTTGTTCCAACACACATAGAACAATATCTAAATGATTCAGGCAATAACTATTGATAGATTTTTATGTTAAACATTTAGTTGACTGTTAAGTCACTACAATAAAACCCAATGAAATGCAATTGTTTGAAGTATGTTGGAAAATCTGCAGAAACTGTACCAGAACAACCAAAGTGTAATTAATGCAACATTACATTGTTTTTAGTTGCAATCCATCCATCCATCCATGGATGGATGGATGGATGGGTGGAGTTGCTATAAACCAAATAATAATATATCGTGTGTCCTTTGACAATATAGGCCTAATTACTAAAGCCTGTGAGTGTAACTTAAATATATGGTGTGTTCTGATGATAGGTTGAATAACTTCCTGTCCTGTAACATACAAAGGTTTCCACTCGTTCCGTGATGTGGCGACAGTTATGTAACAGCGACATCTGTTGGCCAGCTAACGTTGCTGCACAACCTTAAAACGCGTTCGGTCACAATAAGAACAAACTTGAACATCATATTAACATTAAAGATAGAACTGATATAGATAGATAGATAGATAGATAGATAGATAGATAGATAGATAGATAGATAGATAGATAGATAGATAGATTAGAAAAAAACTTCGTGGTAATATAATACAAGTGGTTCGACTAATTAGACTACAGGCTTTATTCATAAATGCCCAGTACACAGTGCGGGTGTAACACGTTAAGCCGATCGTACCAGTTCACTTTGTGCAGTAATTCTAGTCCCCCTTTAAAATACGTTTTGAAACTGAACGAAGAAGGCTGACACAAATGTATTACATAAGTTTTTCTTTGGAATTTCCTAACACCGAAAATTAAATCTTTTTAAAGTCGGGTTATGGGATAATTACTACTTGAACGTACGGACGACGGAAATTGCGTGCAAAGCTCAGAACATCTACAAACTAAAGCACAATACAATTACATAACAAAATATGCGCATGCGATTATGTGCAACACATTGTTGTAGTTTAAGGGAGTACATAAGTAAACCATTGCACAATCGTCAATGCACACATTGTTCTTCCGCGTATAATTCTGTGATTAATTAGCTTTAGAATACTATTGTGTCTCTAATTTATTAGTCTCTGTATTATTTTCCGTATTGAATGAGCACTGAAAGAAACTTTATCAGATATAGGCCTAATTGTATTTATACTAATATTAATATTGTCAAAGAACTGACAAACGATATATCAAACAAACGGAACAAACTGCTCTAGTACTGCTGTGTTTTGCACATATTGATGCCTTTATCTAGGAATGGCTATTTTCTACTGTGTGACATTTTGAACGGAGCGGATCGAGATTACCCTATAATATCTCTGCAGAATAAAAAAATATCGACCAATAAATACTCAGCTTTGGAGGAAATAGATTTGAAATTTAACACTGCATTAATGTGAAATAATCCCATATGTGAAAGATATGTTTACCACAAATACAATATGTGTCGACTCCTGTGAAGGCATTTTATTAAGTTATTTCTCCAAGCAATACTTTTTCATGTAGGGACTGCCGGAGTCTGACAATACGGGTGTAACACGTTAATCAATAATCGTGACAGGAAGATTTAGGGCGTGACACTGAGGGATTCTATATCCAGTGAAATAGATTAATAAAAAGAATCAGACCAGGCCCTACACGTTCACTAATGAAGTGTGCAGTTGAACGCTTTCCCAGACGAGGAAGGAGGCGCAGGCTGGACACCATCTCTTGGTCTGCAGTAACTCTGCCCAGTGGCTTCAGTGCCCCTCCCACCCCTTAAATCCCACCCACCCCACTTCAAGCATCATTGCCGACCAGAGACAAGGACAAATGGGGCCATCTTAAATCGTATTCATCAATATGCGGTGTCGTAGCCTGGATTTACATAAAACCTTTATTCATAAATGCCCAGTACAAGCTGACTAACTATAACTTGGAAAATCTGAAACTTTCTAAAAAATGTGAATTTAAACGGAGTAGATTATGCTTGTGGTCCCAATGGGAACATGGGATTTTAAGTAGTGATGGGGGGGGGGGGGGGGAATCATGTTTGGATTACTGCCCATTGTTGCTGGACAGTCAAAAAGAATGCCAACCAATGAAAAAAGCAATGATAAGTGATCCACACCATTCAGTGTAACGCTATGGGTCTCTGGTTTCAAAACCTCATTTCCCCCATCACTGGCTTTACTCATCATTATATGCAAACCTTAATCCAATTACACACTAGGGTGAATACACGCAGTGAAATAACGGTTAGTGTGAGATGCATTGAGAATAATATCATCATCAATCCATCTTCCATAACCACTTACCCAGAACAGAGTAACGGAGAACCTAGCACCTATTCCAGGAAGTGCAAGGCACAAGGTCCAACTTAAATCCCATTCAACCTGCAACACGGAATTGGTCGTTTGCAGCAGCGCCATGCACCAACTTTTCAAGGAAGCCAGTGCTCGGTAAATTTTGCATCATCGTTGGTTATCGAACAGAGCCTCCTAGAACCTTGAAAGGGGGGGGGGGCACTTACAATCATAAATCTCCACTGCACACATACCCCGTTTGCAGTTGTTTCTCTTTTTGTGAAGTGTTTTGCCCACATGATACACAGTTAGCTGCAAGGATATACAGTGCTCACAGAAAAATGTCGGGACACTTAATCCAGTAAAAATATTGCAAATGTATTGTTTTTTTTCCACAAAAATCATTAATTTATAAATGTGTTTACAAAAAATATCCATTGCATTAGAAACAACCAGTAGTTTTAAGTTAAAAAGAAACATTTCAAATGATAGTAAATTGAAACTCCCATGCAGAGTGATCCCGATTACTTGATTACTTCAGATTAAAAGTGAATGAGAATCATAGCTGTCAAGTCTCCCGTTTTGGCCGGGAAACTACCGTATTTTACCCCTCTTTCCCGCCGTCCTCCCGTATTAGTATTTTCCCGTAAATCTCCCGTATTATAATATCATTTAAAAAAAATTCATCTGCCTCTCCAAACTGAACTGTGAGTAGCCTCGCGAGAACTGCCACCTGCAGTAGTGTCTGCAGGTCATTTACAACATTAACCAGGTCCTAAATGCGGAGGTTAAAATGGCAATGCTGTGTGCCAAAAAACAACGTTTACTTTCACCTTCTGTGACGACTTCAACAAGGATACAAAGTCTGCAACAAATCTGTATAATAAGTCATTAGTGACTGCGATGGGCTGACCCCCTGTCCAGGGTTGTTCCCTGCCTCGTGCCCATTGCTTCCCGGATAGGCTCCGGACCCCACGCGACCAGGTAGGATAAGCAGGTTGGATAATGGATGGATGGATGGAAGTCATTAGTGAATGCCAGAGAGCCACATGAGTGAACATGAGAAATTAAAAGAAAATTTGTAATGAAAATAAAATGTAAATGACAAGTGATTATTTTAGATCTCTTGTACACCTGTCTTAAAATGTAAGGGATACTGGAGCTTGGTTGGGGTGGTGGGGTGGCTCGCGGTGGGTGCCGGAAAATTTCCCTTATTTTCAAATCCAAAACTTGACAGGTATGATGAGAATGCAGCTGTCTGTCAGTGTTGCAAAGCAGAACTTGAATATCACCATGGCAGCACTGCAAAGCAAATATATCTTATAAAAAGACATTCAGGTTTGACAAACTCACCCAGGAATGCCAGATTAGATTAGTCATAAAATATGTCCCATTTAACCTCTCGAAGTAGCCTAGCCTGTCTTTGTCATCACTTTGACTTAGTTTATGTTGCTTATTATGATTCCTGTATGTCAAAATAATCGCTGTTAAAACAAAAGTAACCCTGTCACTTTGCCACATCATTTTACAGAATACAGTACATTATAATCAATAACATCAATTATTGTTTGTTAACATATTGCATGTTTTGAATAGGGCTGAACGATACTAGAAAAAGATCACATTGCAATATTTAGGAGTTGAAAATGTACTATATAACCAAATGCACAACTTATCTACCTTTAACTTACACTATATTGCCAAAAATATTTGGACACCCATCCAAATCATTGAATTCAGGTGTTCCAATCACTTCCATAGTCACAGGTGTATAAAATCAAGCACCTAGACATGCAGGCTGCTTCTACAAACATTTGCGAAAGAATGGGTTGTCTCAGGAGCTCAGTGAATTCAAGACATCCAACTTCGTGAGGCCTTCAGATTAGCTCAAGAACAGTGCGTAGAGAACTTCATGGAATGGATTTCCATGGCCGAGCAGCTGCACCCAAGCCTTACATCACCAAGTGCAACACAAAGTGTCGGATGCAATAGTGTAAAGCACGCTGACACTGGACTCTAGAGCAGTGGAGAAGTTGTTCTCTGGAGTGATGAATCGCACTTCTCTGTCTGGCAATTCGATAGATGAGTCTGGGTTTGCCGGTTGCCAGGAGGATGATACTTGCCTGACTGCATTGTGCCAAGTGGTGGAGGGGGATTATGGTGTGGGGTTGTTTTCCGGGGGTTGGGCTGGGCCCCTTAGTTCCAGTGAAAGGAAGTATTAATGCTGCAGCATTCAAAGCCATTTTGGATAATTTCATGCTCCCAACTTTGTGGGAACAGTTTGTGGATGGCCCCTTTCTGTTCCAACATGACTGCACACCAGTGCACAAAGCAAGGTCCATAAGGGCATGGATGAGCGAGTCTGGTGTGGAGGAACTTGACTGGCCCACACAGAGCCCTGACCGCAAGCCGGTAGAACACCTTCGGGATGAATTAGAGCGGAGTCTTTTAGCCAAGCCTTCTCGTCCAACATCAGTGCCTGACCTCACAAATGCTCTCCTGGAAGAATGATCAAAAATTCCCATAAACACTCCTAAACCTTGTGGACAGCCTTCCCAGAAGAGTCAAAGCTGTTATAGCTGCAAAGGGTGGGGCAACTCCATAGTAAAGCCTGTGTATTAAGAATGGGATGTCATTAAAGTTCATGTGTGTGTAAAAGCAGGTGTCCCAATGCTTTTGGCAATATAGTGTATCAGCCAACAGAGTCTGTCAAATAACTTGGTGTTTCCGAGACACAAAACAGTGCCAACTAATCCCACTTAACACAAACCTGCTTTTGCTCATTGTCACCAGTTCCTGTTGGCCTTTCTCCTCTTCACTCGTTTTTTGCTTAATTTCTCACAAACATGCCACACAGTCTATGAATCATTCCAACAGGATGAAAATGACATGGTTGTCTCAGAAATGGCTCATGCAAAAGCAGCGGCGGTAAACTTTAGACTGATTTTTTAAATCGCTGAAAAGGAACCATCATTAAAATTGCAAAGCTAATCATCAGATTAATCAGTAGATTACTTGATTATTAATATAATCGATAGTGACAGCCCTACCCAAATTATAGTTCTAAAAGACCCGTTCTGAGTTAAACAGTTAATTGGCTCATTGGGTGCTTTTTAATTAGCAACGCTTTTGCAATAATATAAATGACCAAACATTTGTGTTTAGTATCCCTTTAAGACCCAGGGACTACAATTGTAATTAACAGCAAAATGACAGGAACAGAACTGAATGAGTACGTCAAAAAATTATGAGACTTAATAAAAAGAAAATGTCTGTGCGAAAGATATAGGCTGATATGTTAAACATAGCTTGTTAATGGATTTTAGTTGTGAAACCAATAAATCTACATTTACAGAATTAAGCAAGTGTTCAAAGACTTTCTGAATGTTTTAAAAATGTGTTTACAGTGATGCATGTTGAGCATTCTGACACAGAACTGCTGCCGTACAAAGTCCTGGTGGCAGCTACAGTACTTCCAGAACTCTGCTGCTAGGATCCTGATGAGAGTTTGGAAATATGAACACATAACACCTGTCCTTCAGTCACTTCACTGGCTTCCTGTTTCTGCCAGGATCGAGTACAAGATCTCTCTCCTCACCCACCAGTGCATTTATCCTCTTTACTTAAAAGAACTGATAACAACTCAAACCACAACACGACCCCTCTGCTCTTCCCAATTAAATCGCCACCACCCCCCCAGAAATAATCTCAGCAGGATGGGCGATCGGGCCTCTGTGCTGCTGCACTTCGCCTATGGAATGTCCTTCCTGAGATACTCAGGGCAGCCCAATCTACTGACAGTTTTTTTAAAAAAGGACTTAAAACCTTCCTTTTTAGCAGATTTTATCATTCCTAATTTTTTGCTTTATAGCTCTTTTTTAGATTGTTGAGGTTTTGTAGCACTTAGAGATTTTCTCCGAAAATGTAAAGTGCGTTATAAATAAAATGTATTATTATTATTATACATAGACAATATTTTTAACAGGTTAGAGCAGGGTTTCTCAAAATTTCCAAACATACAGCCTGGCTATTCATCATTTCGCCAGCCCACTGGTATAGAACATGGATGCATGGGTTTTATCACGATAATTTCCCCCATATTAGTCGATACTGAGATTTATCGCGATGTAATTCAGTTCAGTATTTTTTACTTCAAGGCTCCATTTTTGCTTAAAATTTCCTTGTAACTGCCCTTAAACAAAGTCAGCATACGCAGAATACAGGGACAGACTGCAGATTTAAATCTTAATTTTAATAAATCAATCAGACTTTTTCTTGTAGGATGTAACAGTAGAAAACGCCCATAGTTACTGTATTTTTTTCTCTTACTTTGCAGTGAGTTAGAGTTGTCACCCTTACCATAGTGAAACAAACTGCTGCGCCCCGTTGTTAACCAATACTGGGCGTGAATTGTCTCTTATTTATTCAGATTTTAAGTGAAACGTCCAATTGCAGGTGTCTGTGGCCGTAAACACTTGCATTCTGAATCTTGCACTGGGAGTCAGTGATTCGGGTAGGGAAATAAGTTCACGGTATTTCCAATTATAGTTGGTTAACAGTACACAGCCCTAGCCTAGATCCCCGACCTTCCTTTGAGGGAGCGCTGACCTCTTCCGTTATATTACCGGCGCAGTAGCATAGGGGGCGCGGTACTGCTCAACCAAACTTCCGGTTCCTTTTATGAGGGTAGGTTGTCCGTTTTTAAAAGGATAACCATCCTATTGGTTGTAATTGCGTTCGTTTCTGTGATATGATAGGATAAGAAACGCCCCTTACTGGCAGTTTATCAAAGTTTCTCATCCTCTATCCATTTAAATTTTGCAGGGTTGCCAACTCTGATGCTTCTGGTGTGACACACGCAAGAAATCTCACGACAAATCTATATTATTCAACTATAAACCTAAAATTAGCCACGTCAAAAGCGTGGGGTAGTTTGCAAACCCTACAGACTATTTACAAGGTAATAAAACAAACATGTTGCCAACTTTAGTCACCAGACTGGCGAGCTACTCGCAAGAAATCTCGCGGCAAATCTATATTATTCCATTATAAACCTAAAATTAGACACATCAAAATCGTTGGGGTAGTTTGCAAACCCGGCCTACAGTCTATTTATAAAGTAATAAACTTATACATGTAAATGTGTCTCGAATTGAAAATCTCACGCCAACCAGTTGGCCAAAGTTAGCAACCCCGTGTACGGTTAACAATTCCTTACAACATATGGTCCTAAAGTACACTAACAAAAATAATTAACCACTACCCACATTAACTCGACGTAATTTATACGCTTTTTAAGGTTTAACACTTTTTAAATTAACCAAGAGTGATTCATTTCATGGCGACGATTCCATTCACCATCTCCTGCCCTGACAGGGATGACCAGTCTCTACATCCAATCTCTATCACTAGAATAACTAGAGTCATGTCATACAATTTTATCATTTTTAGATATAAAAAATGTGTAATAGACTCCAGTACAGGTAAAATCAATTACGAAGAGGGGATCACTAATTAAGTCATGCAGCTGACGGAAAAGCCACCTACCCCGAGCTAATTTTTGGGTTTTTCCTAATTAGGATGAAAACCTGCAGGGCGGTACCGGCCTCTTGCTCTTCGGTCGGGTTCGGAACGGCGGCCTCCCTTAGGGCGAGAAAATATAGTTTTATGCGTGGCTGAGAGTGATTAATTTATTCTATTTTAACGGTTTTAGAATAAAAATGGTGAGTGTTTGCGGATCAACTGTAGATGAGGTTTTAAAATAAAGGAGGGAGACTTCATTAAGCGGGAATGGGGGGTGACGGAGGACGGCATGGCGCGGCTGGTCCAGTGTGGGTTTCAGCACCTGTAGAGTCAAACCCATGTGGGGTGGCGGTTCAGTGCGATTAAGGTTGCTGGCTCCATGTTTCGGCCCAGAATTTGCTCTCCGGCCGGCGGATCCGTCCACAGGCCCATGGAGGGAAACTAGCAACCCCTAGGCGTCCATTGTGGTGATATATAAAAAGAAAACTCCCGAATATTAATCATTGTAAAACGACGAAATGAAAATGGTGACGTTGTTTTTAATAATACGGCGACGATGGGTTAGCGTCCTTTTCCCTGCGTAGATGATCAGTCTAGTTTAGCAAATCATTTTATACGAGGGTAGGTAAGTAAGCAAAAGTACAGTTAAGTGGGTAATAATTTGGGTGCCTGCCCTCGCAGTTTGCGCCGATATGACCTGGGTGCTTGTCCTTTTTTTCTTCTTCTTAACTGCATTTCTTAATGCATTTTAAGGAAATATGTAATTAAAACTGTTTAATTGTTTTCATTTTAAGGAAATACATAAAGCTAGAAATGGGGCTCAGACGTTGCCTTCGTTGAAACTGTCAAACGGATACATTTTACCCGAAGGTAAACTGACGCCAAACACGCTCTTCGTCGGTGGGATCGACATGAAGGTAGGTGTGTGTGTATGTGTGGGTTCGGGCGCTGCGGGTCTGTCCTTGCGGGGTAAGCGGCGCCTTCAGCTCTTTCGGTCTGCAGGTGGATGAAAATGAAATCAAAGAATTCTTCGCAAGATACGGCACCGTCAAGGAGGTGAAGATCATCACCTACCGTGGTGGCATATGCAAGGGGTGAGCGCTTGTTCCCTAGGGAATGTGTGTGGTTTTGAGAAAACTTGTGACTATCAAGTATATGCTCAATTAGCAGACCAGATCTCTTGGGTTTGCTTTCTAATGAACTTCCATTCCACGTGTCCGTTTCCCCTCTGAAGGTACGGCTTTGTGTCCTTCAGTGAAGATGTGGACATCCAGACCATTGTTGAAGTAAGGCTGGCAGATGACAATGTGGGAAGTCTGCACAGACGTGTCTGCATGATTATAACCTGTGCATTTTAACCGTGTCCCGGTCAGCAACAGATCAGTTTTAAAGGGAGGAAACTCAAGTTGGGCCCGGCGATCATGAAGGAACGGAGCACGCGTGAGTCTCCGCTCTGTTTGTCATGCTGGGGTCCACCGACCCGGTTGCATCTCCTGTATGAACAAACCAACCGTTCTGGCCTCTACTAGACCAAACCAATGTACTTGTTCAAGAAGAGTAGCACTGAGGTTGCATTTCTCCTAGACGCATCTTAACTCTCTTTGATATGTTCAGGGCTTCCACATTCCCTGCAGTTTTGAGCCCGACAGGGTTTAGCTTGATATGTTGCCTTACGCCCTGTAATTTCTGGC